AGGTTAGGCAGTTGCTGTTTGTGGAATAAACAAACTTCTAAAACAGACATGTTTGAGTTGACTGATAAACTAATTGAACAAATGTTCAGGTACACAATGCTGCTTAACCTAAGCAGTGCATTTAGTATGTAAAAAAAACAGTTTTTCCCAAATCTAAAGGGGTGTAATTTTTCATGAATTATATGAATCTTAACACGATCTCATGCCAACGATTAAATATTCTAGCAATCTGTGTTTTTACATCATGTGACAGTGTTAAAACATAATAGCTTAGTGGTTTACCCATTCACCTAACAACTGAAAGATCCTAGGTTTGATTCCAGGAAATCCATTTGTGGTTGCACCAAGAAGGGCATCTCAAAATTACAAATTAAATATGCAGAGCTACCTGCTGTGCTGCAACCCCTTGTGAATAATGGAACAACTGAAAGTTAGCGTCTTCATTCAGACAGTTTTTTATCCCATTTCTTCCCTCTCTACCTCTGCCTTGCACTGCTTGTTGCTTTGATGGTTCAGTTGTGTGTTTTCATGTATTCTTTCTTGTGTGATTTAAACCATAATATATACTTAATCCTAGTAATAATATTTTTTAATGTTCCCACATGTCATTAAAACTGTGCGATTGTCTAATAAAATCAGCTCTTTAAATGTCAGTGTCTGTCATACAATTTTATTGTCCATCTGTCTCTGTTTCCCTAGTTTTTGCCAGTTTATCCATTAGCACTATCTGATATTTTAAATCATGTTTGCCCTCTGACTTCTTGTTAATTCCGTTAATTAAGCTGAAATTTATTCTTGATCCAGAAAAAAAGTGTCAGTTTCTCATTAGCTTGGCAACAAGGACAAGGCTACTTTATTAACCTTAGAGCCCAAGGTTATGTATTTGTGCTTACACTTTTCTAATGTTACTGACTAAATTGGAGGATATTTTAAAGTGGAAACTTTAACAATAGCCAAGGGTTTAAGGAACTGTTATTCCTAATATATATACATACATATATATATATATATATATATATATTGTACTGTTATAACAATTTCTAAACAAATTTTATTATATGCTCAAATTATATGGAAATGAGAAACATTTAATTTACACTTTGTCTTACTTGCATTTTTTGTCTTTGCTTTCCCCCAGTCTCTCCTCCAGTGCTGACTGTTCCACCCGGACGTCAGGCTGTTAGTGTGCGAGAGGGAGGTAATGCCGAACTGGTGTGCTTAGTCGTAGATGGCAAACCACGTCCTCCTATACTGTGGTCACGGACAGAAAAGGACTTGCTAATGCCCTCGGGGAAGCCCACAGTGGAGACGCCTGATGGTCGCTTGAGGCTAAAGAACGTTAGCCGGGACATGATGGGGGCATACAGGTGCCAGACTGCTCCATACAATGGGCTTAACATTAAACGCAGAGAGGCACAGGTTCAACTCAATGTGCAGTGTAAGTATGGATCAGCGTACTTTCAGTTCAACATCCAAAATCCTTTGTCTTAAGCTGAATACAGGTCTCTCAGATTAAGAACATATCCTGGTGTCAGTAAGTCTAGGTTAGTGTAAACTCTTTTCAAATACTTTTTTGGGTGCAGCTTGTGTACTATTAGGAAAATGCACGATAATACATGATAACACCAGCAAAAAATTTAATGATTCTGAAGGCGTCACAGAAGCTAGGAGGGAAACTGGCTGTTTAACTTCAGAGTGGAAGGTGCCTAACCTATTGCATCTTACACATTTTACATTGTGTGCAATCAATCGATCAAAGTTTTCAGTTACAATCAAGGAAATAATTTCATAATCAATTTCTAAATTTGCTTACTTACAAAGAATTGAACAGTCTTTCACTTTTAGTAGAAGGTTGAATTGAATGGAAAGAGACAGAGTATTATTCTATGCTTGACTGTGGGGATGGTCTTATTTGGGTCATATTCAACATTTGGTTTCCAACCGCCAGTGAGGCAATTTGATGTTAAAGAGCTTGATTTTGTTGTCATCTGACCGCAACCTTCTCCTGTTAGTTAGATGTTCACTAGCAAACTTGAGCAGGGGGCTACTACAAGATTGAAATCCTTTGGATCATTGACAAGCTCCTTCTGTGTTTATATTTCTTGGGTTTCTGAATAATCACACCAGTAGTTATCATCCTCCCACCAAGGTTCTTGCTGATGTTCTTGTAGCTCATTCCAGCTTTGTCAGGGTCTACAATCTTGTCCATTGTGGTGGAGAGGTTGGAACGGAAGAAATGAATTAACTGGACAGGTGCACGCTAATTTCTGGACTTTAGGTTAATATTGTCTCTTTGTCCATTAAAATGAACATACGGCAAAAATGAATGACTTTTTATTTCTTTGTAAGTGGGCAAACTCAAAATTTTAGCAGAGGATCAAAGTATTATGATCCCTTATAAGGGTGCATGTAGCGACTAAAGAGGGGAGAAAAACACGCTTGCTAATGGGCAGCGAGTGGAAACACGTAGAGAAAAAATCATTTTGACAACTTTCCAACAGAGACCTGTTTCTGTAAATTAAAGAACATATCCTGGTTTTTTAAAAATATATATTTTACTTTTCCATTAAATTTAAATAATCACTTTTCTTTCTCTCACCCTCAGTGAAGTCATAACAGTTATACTTCACTAACAACTATGGACCCTATCAGCAGATAAGAAATTGTAAAAGGTGGAACTGAAAGCAAATGAGGACATACCTCTACTGCTCAGAGGCAGCTTTCACTAAACCTACTGCTTTCCCTTTGTGAACATTCGACTGAGGTCTGTCATTATAAAACTCCCAGAGGATCTACTTTGAGAGAGGAGAGGATGTGTCTTAGTAACGTAACGCATCATTTTGATACCTTTTTCCTTCCCATGAGGTTATCTTCTTTTACTTACTTTTACCATCCTGGAACTTTGACAGCCGTTATCAGTGCTAAGTCATGGAATGTGTGAGTATTACACATCAGCCTGCGTTTGTGTAAAACTGAGCAAGCCTTTTGCAAAACTTTCAGCCCTTTAAAAGAATATCTATTCTTCCTTCAACTACTTGAATAAAAACATAACTTTTATTTCTCATTTATGTTAATGTTGTAAGAGTTAGACACTGTGGAATTGTAGATATAGTATATATAGCTTCTATATAAATATAGGTATATTAGGTATATACTAAAGAAACTGAGTATATTTTAACCAGTTGACTTCGAGAGTTGTTTTAAGTTGATACATAGATATATTTTTTTGCATGGTAGTCAATCTGTGAAGTCAGTTTTGAGGTAAGCAGTCATTGATAAATTGTATATGTATTTTTGTTGTTGTCAAGGAACATTGAAACATTGTAACACTGAAAGCAAATTGTTTATTTCCATGGCTTCAATCATAGATTTAAAAAAAACTCTCACTGTTTATTCTGTCAAAAAAGTCAAAGGCTTTTTCTTTTCTTTATCTCTCCTAAAAGCTGTATATTTATCAGGAAGTAAAGAACCAATTCCCCACCTATTTAGTGACCTACCTGATAAATACAAGCCCAAATTAGAGCCCTCTCCTCTCCTCCCCTCTTCTCTGCAAGGCGGATTTACAGGGCTTACTAATGCAGGCAGGGTGCAAGGGCAACACTCTGTGAGCTCTGCTGTCTGCACTGGCCAACTCTGATTAATGGACCAGGTGGCCACCGCACTATGGACAGCGAAAGAAACGGAGCAACGAGACAGCTACATGAGCAGGAATAGGAGTGAGCATAACGGGGTTAAGAGAGAGCTTGAAACAGGAAAGCATGGATAGTGATGGGGGGAAGGGGGAAGAGAGGATGAGAAGGTGCTAACAAAGCGAGGGACTGGTTGGCAAATAGAGAAACAAGAACATATTTCAGTGCAGTCAATCAAATTGTGGAAAATAAATTTCCCACTTTTATTCAGCTGCCCCTTTGTCCCCTGACTTAATTTGTTTATTTTATCATGTTTCTTTGCTTTATTCTGTTTACGACTGTTGATTGATGTGAGGGAAGGATGGCATCATTTTTTAAGGCCGATGTAATTAAGTGGATAGGCAGATGCTCGCCACTGTTTCCACTCTTGCCTCTCCCATTCCCACTTTTGCCTTGTATCACTTCTATACTTGCCCAGTGTTCCTTTTTTCCCTCCTGGAGAGGTGGCTGTTCTTCCTCATTGCCATTCTCATCATCATCAATCAGCTAACTGCTGGCCATGAGAGAAGACCTCTCTCTGTCTTGTCATTCTCTTTCTGCATCCTGCATTCTCTCATTCACTCCCCACCTCCCATACTCAATCACTGACTTCTCTCACTTTCACACTATCATTTGTCTTCCTCTTTGTCTTCTTCTTTAAGAGCGATCCTTTCTTCTCCCATCCCTCCTTACCCCTCATGCATGCTACCTTCCTCTCTCAGTCTCATGTAAATTGATTTTCTCTTTGTGCACTGTAAATGTTTGGCTTGGTCAGTGTTGCATTCCCGGATGAATTCATTTCGCATTCAATAAGATGGATAGCGATGGTGTGTTTACATGGATTATAGTCTTTTGACTATGAAACATTGCAACAGTGTGCTATGAGTCCTGAATGAGAAACAAATAAATGCAAAAGCAATGCTCTGGAGAATTTTGGGGGAAAAAAGTTTAATTAGAAAGTAAAATAACCACAAAAAGTGGAATCTACTTGAGAAGTTGTTGAAATGAATATATTAGATGAGAAAGGGAACTGTGCTAGCTTAATGATTTCTAGATTGATTACATACCAACGTATAACTCACCTCTGTTTTCCTCCTTGCTTCTATTACCATTCCTCCACGCTTTGCCTTTTTTCTTTATCCTTCTTATCTATTTCCAAAGTCAGTAATCAGTATGCATATGTGCTGTAAGTAGGAGCAGGGTGTGTGACCATACACTAATCAATCCACTGGGATTACAGTATGACCTTTGACCACTTACACATCCCTCAGCGTCGCACATCATCACATAGCTGTGGGTGTAGGGAGTAGCTAAAACATTAGTTTTGAGAGATCAGAGAGGGAGTAATTGTAACAGTACACAACACTAAGTTAGCATTTGTGGGAAGAACTTTGGATACATGCTGGGAATCTTGACTATAAGCCAAAAGATAACCTAGTGGCTGAGACGTTAAATGCTTTGGTGGTTTGCGATCTTTTTAGCATTCAGGTGCTTACTCACATTTCTTTGACTGGAGTGCTGGCATAGAATGGTAAACTGATTTCAAACAAGAATTTGGTTTGGCTGTGTATACCCGTCCGTAGCAAAATAAACAACAGCAACAAGGAAAAAAAACATATTATTGAAAGTTTTAGTCATAGTGAATTTAAATGTATTTTCTTCAGTTCTTTAGCTTTCAAGAATATGTATTAAATGGATAATGTGTTCAGGCAGGTTATAGCTCTCCGCTTATCTATTCTGGCTTCTGATGTGTAAAATGCAGAAGCTGCTGAATCCTTAAACTTAAATTATGTTAGTCTTTAAAAAGGTGTAACATCTGTGTGTAAATAAAACATTCCTTGTCTAGTCTTTCTTTCAATTGAGTGCAACTCAACGTAATCAATTAGTAATACACATATATTATTAATTTAATTATTAACACTATTAACATTGACTTTATAGGACAGAAAAAGAAGAGAGTTTTTAACCATTATTTTTAATCTCTATATATAGCTATACTGTAGAGGCAGGTTTAGGTTTCTGTTTAATCATATCAACACCTCCATTGTCAGCCAATCAGAGATTTTGATATTGTATAAAACACAATAACAGGATCTCTGTTTCTCTTTCCCTCCCTGCTCCTTGCTTTACATTATCTTACCGTCTTTTTCTTCCCTCCATACTGCAGCTCATTCTGTCTGTCTAAATTACAGGCATAACATAGATTAGACTATAATTACACATCTGTGTCTGATAAACTTGATTCATAAGGGGCGCTAGTCATGCTGTATCACCTCTGGGCCTTAACACCAGATCTCATCAACGTTAGTACTGCAGTACCACCATTAGCATCTTGTCTATTATCTACATGATTAGCCAGGGGTGAACTAGCTGGCTGGTGATTTGTGGCACAGTAATTTGGCTGTGTTGTGTCTTGGCTGACCCCAGGGCAGCAGTGGCTAGTCAATCATTAACCACAAAGGCACACATCACTGTTGACAGGTTAATTACAACTGGTTAGGATAGGTTAGAAGCAGGGATGAGAGTGTGGCTCGAAACGCCTGATCCCTTGTGGCAATAACAGTTGTTTTGTGTTGGATGATTTGTAACAACACATTTTTTATAATGGTTTAAGGAAATCCACTTTGCAAAGAACATAAAGAAATGAGACATGGATGACACTGTTTTTGCAGTCCATTTGGTACTACATGTCTAAGATGAGTTTCTGAGATTAAAATGTGGGGTTTTTTTGGAAATGTCTGTTTCAGTTTATCTTCATTCCCTTATGATGAAAACAATTTTTAACATTAGAAACCAGCTAGACCAAACTAATTTTCAAATGTTTATCTGCATTCATAATCACAAATTAAGTTACTGCACAGTTACTGAATATAAGTAAGAGAGAATAAAATAAGGATTCAGCTCTAAAATAAAGAAGTACTTGTGCAAAAACCTAATAATGAGTATTAGACTTGCAATAACAGTGGCAAGGCTGTTTAAAAAATGCTACTGCTGCACTTGCATAAAAACAGAGTATAATATTCACTCTATTATTAAAACACAAGTGTTTATTTTTCTGCAGACCCTCCCATTCTGGACCCAGTCTTTCAAGATGTCCGTTCCAGGAACTATCAAATGGTAACCCTGAGATGTACAATCCTACGATCAAACCCTCCTCGCGTAACAGACATTCGCTGGTTCCGTAATGGTGACTTCATCCGTATGCCAATGCCAGACCTGAAGGAGACACCGGAGCTGAAGTTCAAACTGGAACCCACCAACAATGGCTCTTACGAGTGCCGAGTGAGCAATACTGAGGGAACATCAGCATGCACATTTAATGTCTCTGGTGAGTGTGCCATTAATGGAAAAAAAAGTCGTAATCCTCTTATTATCAGTTTTATATTCCTGTACTCATGCACCTCCATATAAAGATTTATTTTTCCTTCTGTGTCATTCAGTAAATTTTTATAAAACATCGTTGCTTTCTTGTTCTATATTGCTCTCTGTCATACAGCACAACCATACAATGCTGAGTTTTACTTTGATACACCCAACCCTGTCCGGATTCTGAAAGGAAACAACTATTCCTACAATTTGCAGTGGACACAAAAAGATCCCGATGCCACAGATCGCATCATAGGATACTGGATTAATGTTCGAAAGGTAAAGTTCTCCCATATTTAATCCATCTATATAAATACATATATATATGTGTGTACTATATGCCTATTTGCATGCCTCGTTACACACACATCCTGTGTGTAGTATCTTATAATATCATTCGTGAGATCTTGACAAGAGGCAAGTGCAGTGGATTGACAAACACTAACTCACTGACTTTGTTTATCAAGCACTCATGAGACTGATTTGATTGGTCTAACTTTATCCAAGGCAAACTTTGGTCACCTGCCTTTGTAAAAATCACCTCGAAAGCTGACAGCTTGTATAGATAAAAAGCATACACACAGGACTGTAAGCAGTAAAGTTTACATTCTAAGTCAACATGGGGCTTTATGAGCTTGGGAAGTGTCAGAGTGTCAGGCATGTGTAGACAGTCAAAGCCACTCATTTCCTTTCACTCATGCAATCAACTTTACTTTTTAAGGATAATAGGATTGTATTGTGTGTATGTTTTTTTTTATAAAAAAAAAAAAGTTTTGTATTAAACACATTTGTGTTTCCTTGCAGTGATATATCACTCTGAGGCAATTCCTAGGCAGGATTTATCAGCCTTCTGGACTTTTTATTTTAGATTTGTCACATATATTTAATTTGCTGTCTGGATCTGAGTGCCAGACTAGTACTAATGTGTTTATTACCAATTCCACAATGAAAGGAATGCCATCTTTTAACCACATGAGTCGAGAGACAGTTAGCATTTTTTAAATCCATTTTCATGTTTTAGCTTGCCTTGACACTCTATTGATGCCACTACATTTCTGGAACCCCGTGAAGGTTGTTAAATTAGTCTTGCAGTCACAAATTAGATTAAGCGTGTACTGAAGAAGCTTTTAAAACTTCTTTCAACTCAATTTTGAGCCAAAACAAGGTGATGTTTTCACCATGATCTGATACACCACATTTATGTACGTTTACATAAACTCGTAGGCTTTATGACTGACCCTCGACGAACTCCAGTACTTTCGGAGCCCCTAATAGGACAATGATCTAAAATTAGGAACCTCTGTCCACAATAGTAGAGCACCCTGAGGCCATGTTCTTGTTATGTTTCAAGCATCTACTCGTATATTACTGGCCTTTGTCAGAAGACATGAAGGTAGTGGTGAATTATACACAACTGGCTGGGGTTGGGTATGGTGTGCATGCATGTGTGTGAGAGAGAGACACTTAAACAGAGGGAATGCGAGGACTGCCAGCTTGCTTTTGTGTGGATGAATAGTTAATTCCCCTCCTGCTTCAAGACTTGGCTGCTTACCTTATTAAGTAAGGCTCTTCTGGGAGACAGAAAATGAGCACTAGTCTTCCTAAGATGCACATTAGATTGCATGCCTAAGCTCTCTGAAACCTCACTCTTCCTCCTTTGTTCCATCAACCTCTCCTGGCTGTCCTCACCTTTTCTGCTATGTATCCTTATTTCACTTTAGTCTCTTACCTACTGTCCATCCCATTTCTTTCTCCCTTTGTGCCTTGGTCACACTTTTGCATTCAATCCTTCCAACCCTCTCGGTCTCTCTCTCTCCCTCTCTCTCTCTCTTTCTCTCTCTCTCTCTCTCTCTCTCTCTCTCCGTAAACTGCAAACCTAATGGCATTTGATGTCGGGTGAACCATGGAAACCGGAATAGCGCTGATAAATAGTGGCTGCAAGTTCTTATGCCGACAGTGTTAAAATAATGAGTTGCATTAAGTGGCAGTTTAGGACTTCTTAAATGTTGTTAAGCTTTAATTGAATTTCAAGGTTTTTACCTGAATGTTTTTTTTTAATGTGTTCATTAGAGAGTGAAAAGAGACAGAAAAATAAGGGAGGCGTGGAGGTTGTGAGCAAGAAAGTGAACGGAAGGGTGCGAATGGAGAGAAATACGATGCAAATTAAAGAAAAACATCAAATCTCACTGGCCCTCTCAACTATTAAATAGAGTACGAGAAAATTCAAATGTAATACCATCTCAATTTCACAACCCATCTATTTCTGAAACATTTTCTCCAGCTCATCCTTTTAACGCCTTGGCACTCTATCTTTTTAGCACCTACAAAATGATATGGGGGTCTCATGAGAAACAAGCAGGTATAGAGGGGAATACAAGAGGACTCGGTTCGTGTAGAACAGCGCTCTTCATCGCAGATCTGACTACATGACTATAACTTTTATACTTTTTGCTTCAGCTTGATTTTTTTTATTATGTGCGAATAGGTATGTTTTAAATGAGAGTTAATGCAGATTTATTCTGTTTTATGCCTGAAGAATATGAATGTATTTCATATTGTATAACTGCCATTAATATATTTACTCGTTTGAACAAGGAATGTCCTTGTGTGTGTGCGTGTGTGTGTGTGTGTGTGTGTTCGCATGGCAGTTTATGTAGTTTACACCGTGACTCATTGGCAGGCTATGAAATCCTTGCTTACACGTCTTAATTTAGTTTCATTCTCCCTGCAGGGGGTTTCCCTGTGTTTGAATTAACAGTGTTGACAGGGCCTCTTTTTTTTTTTTTAAAACCTGTCCTCACTCCACTTTTCCTTGAGAGATAATAAATTAATATGTGATAATTTTACCTTCTTACAGCAAGAGCGGCTGATTTACTTTTGTTTCTCAAGGCTTTGATATTACTTTGTCTCACACACATAGAAAGCTCAGGGTTTATGTCATCAGAATTCATCTGTGATGCATGTGCACTTATGTGTTATGTAAATAAATATGATTCAAACCTAAGAGGGTCAAATTTGTAGAATTTTTTTGCTGAAAAGTAGTTACACATTATCAAAATCTAGAAATACACATAAACAACTGGGAAGAACAAGAAATGTTTAACGTGCTGGTCATCAAACTTGAAATGGACATTCAGAAAGCTGCTTAGTAAACATGTCTTTAACTCTAAGAGAAAGTGAATCAGCCTTTTGCTTTGCTTCAGTTGCATATATTTGCATGCAGCTATGTTGACGTTTTCAATTCAGTTTAAATCATTTCAACCATCAACAATTTAGCGACAATTGGCAGCTTAAGACACTTTATTATGTATTGCAAAATAAAGTTCCTGCTATTGTATATTACAGATAAAAATCCCATTGATTAAAAATGTACCTTTGAACAAACACTTGACTACTGCGAAGAACAAAAAATAACTGATTACATGAAGAAAGGCAGCACTAGGTTCAGGACGTGCACCATCTGCAGTGACCTGTTGGAGTAAGGGGAAAGCAAAGAAAGGAAAGAAGAGCACAGAGAGAGCATTACATAGAGAGGTCTCCACTTAGAGGGATGAAGGCAGTGGTTGTCTGCAGCTGCCACAGCTATGGTGTTTCCAATTGATTGAGAAGTCGAGTTGGTGAAGTCTCCTTTGATCCACTCAAAACAGTCCTCTACCAACTGTACAAACGATGACTAGCTGACACTGGAGTCTCTCACTGCTTGTGTGCTGAAATATTTCACTGTGTGTGCTTACACTGAAGCTAGCTGATTGAACTCTTCATTTTATGATTTTTTCTGTAGACTTGTAAATCAAATTTATAAAACTCTGGTCTTTTTTCTGACTGACTCTAATCGATTTCCATTAACCTCGTATGCAATAACATGGCCTTGGTGAATGTTTTTGAATATCCTTATTACACTCACCTTACATACACTCACTGGACAGTTTATTAGGTACACCTTGCTTCAGAACTCCCTTAATTATTTAGGGCAAAGATTTAATAGGGTGCTGGAAACATTCCTCTGTGGTTTTGGTCCTATTCTATGCACGTGTTGAGGGTCACATATGGCAACAGACTCAATAAACTGATCTGCAAGGCCAGTAGTGTTGTGGGGATGGAGCTGGATTCCTTTAAGGTGGTGTTGGAGAGGCGGCTCTTGTCCAAGATAAGGACAATGCTGGACAATACCTCCCCCCCACTCCCTGATGAGGTAGCCAGTCATAGAAGCACGTTTAGTGAAAGATAGATTACCCAAAAAGATTGGATGTGTTTTATAATCACAGATGCTCTTCTGCATATCTTGGTTGTAAAGATTTGTTATTGTATTTACTGTTGCCTTTCTTACTGCCCCTATTGCTATAACTTCAATTGCCTTTCTTCCTGATTCTAAGGTTATCTTGAACATATCTACATTCCTCAGTGACCTGAGTTGCTGACATGTCATTAGCTGATTAGATATTTGTGATAACGTAAAAATGAAAAGATGTTCTTAATAAAATAGTCTGGTTAGTGTATAGCATGTTTGCATTTTAAGAAAACATGTTATACTTGTTTTGAAGAAGATACAAAACCAGGAACGTTACACACATTCTCCCATTGTTTTGTTTTTTTACAGTCAGCATGACTTTAAAACTAATGTAAGGAAAATATCAACCTGGTAACCAAGAAACCTCTTTAGCCATCTTTAGATGAAAATTAGTCAGCTAACTACCTTCTAACTTCTAAGTCCATTAAACTTCATAAATCCTGTTTCTCATGATGCCTGGATGTTAAACTTAATTGTTACACCTGGTAGAGCAGCCACGCTCATCATTTTATTTAATATGAAAGAATTTAGACAGTTTTTAACTCTCAGTGATGTTGCAGTGTTTGTTTGACTTTGGAACCTGAAGAGGACCTGGAAACAGCTAATGACATCAGACTTAAAGAGCGAATAGTCTCTCTCTCACACTAGCCAACTCGTTTTATTGCCTTAACCACATTGACTGGTTTTGGTGCCTAAACCTGCATATACACTGGAAGCGATTTGCTCATTGCTGTGAATTGCTTTCAGTGTGTATGTTGCTTAAGCCTAAGAAAACATCAAGATCAAACCAAACAACACACAAAAATGAAGCTAAAGCCTAAAAGAAACCAAAGAAAGTGTAAAAATCACGAATTCAGTGTGTGATTCTGGTGACAAAGTGACTTACTCACATTTAGCTATTGCCAGAAATGAAATATAATTTATATTTGTATTCTTTCCATTTCTTTGTTTTTTTTTTTTTATTCATTTTTATTCAAAAAAAACCCTTTCCTGTCTGAATATTCTTCACCTGTTTTCTATATTGACCAGTCTAAACCCAAGTTGTGTGTGTTATATCACTGAAGTTGTTCAGCTAGTAGCTGATCTGCCTTCACAAAATAACTATTCAGGTTCTTGCACTCTAAGATTTAGCCACACACAGTCACACAAAGTGTCTCTGTGCAAACACACAGTCCACATTACCATATATATGAGAGATGAAAAATATTCATGATGAATTAGAGTTGTACATTAAATCAAATATAGGAATAATTTATGTACATAACTAGCCCAACAAGGCAGATACACACGTATGTTTGCACGCAGATAGACCACATAGGCCTTTGTAAGCATAACTTTTCAATAGACAGAGTGCAAAGAAATGCATCAAGTATCAGTAAATTGCTGGATCAGTCATAAAAGAGAACCATTAACAGATGATAATAGAAAAATTAACCTTAGCACAAGGCTGCCTCGCCGTATGCTGTCAGTCCACATTTCTGTCATTTACAGATCACTCTGCCTCCACGGTCCTATTTCATAGCACAAGTTCTCCTGCTCTTGCCCTCTTTTACACATTATTTGTCTTGTTGTGTCTTTATTAAAAGTCCGATGGCAGTACAGATGAAAATGCTGTTTGGCTGAAAGTGTCTGTACAGCAGGCAATATGTCAGTCACACTCCTGTCTCATTCTGTTGTTCCCTTTGTACTATTTTTTTGTACTCTTACCCCTTTCCCCTTGCCTGTCACATAGACTCACACAAATAAGCATAGCGACACTGACAATATGTCCTGCTGTGGAAAGCGGAGAAAGACAGAGGCAGGGTGAAACAGACTTCAACCTGTGGTAGGAGCAGCTGGTTTCTCCAAGTCACACTTCAGCACCTCATTGATCCAGTGGTCCTAGTTCCAAAGAGTGTATGTGCATGTGTGTTAAAGTCCCCTCATAGTTTTTCAGTATTAATCTCCAGCGCACTGCATGTGTGTGTACACACACATACACACTGCCCACTCATTAATAAAGGATAATATATTTCCAAAACTCAGGCAGATATTCACTCATCTCTTCTTGCTAACACACACTCTATACATTTTAAATGTGCATAACTTTTCTTTCCCGCTGTATTCCATATAAATATGCATATCTGATGTGTGAGCAGAGTGTAAATGTTTTTTATGGCTCAATATGAGCATAAGTTGGTGCTAAAAGGGTGCAATTCATAGTCTTCTGCATCATATAATAGTGTAAATGCTCCAGCAAGGGAGCAAATATCTGAGGAAATCACTCGTCTGCAGTTGTAGATGCAGTTGATTACAATAAATAATAAGCAACAACATCACCAAAAGAATGGACAAATGATATTCATATCATGCTCTACCTATAGTACTTGACAAGACTCGTTGCTTTTGGAGAAATTGAAGCTGTAGACCATTTTTGGCCTAAAACTTTATTAGGCTGTATTATTGCTTTTACTTAAAATTACCTTCTTCAAGTTTTTAGTGAAGATGGACATTAGGTCCATTGTACATCAACCATGGACTGATGGTCTCAAGTATTTTGGTTAGTTGCATTGCAACAGGAATGTTTGCTAAAAGCTGGGAAAACTATGGATGTTTTTTTTAGCAGTTCAGTTTTTAGATACAATTTATACTATTTTATACTTAAAAATATTTAAGTGGAAGAAGTGTTTTTTTTGTTTTTGTTTTTTCTGTAAGCAGTTATTTAGCTTTCATGGTCTCTATTGGTGGAGCTACAAAAGGGGTCTCCAATGTCTGGCAAAAAGGGCAAACTTCATATTGGAAGAACTGAACTGGAAACACCAAGAGTGGCACTGAGAAAAGAAGTTTGCCATCATGGCACAATGTCTGGTGAGGATGCATGGACTTGATACCAAGCGTGTTGCTGAGCACACACTTGGGCTGTGGCTGCCATCGGGGTCTCGTACAGTAATTGGAGTTGTACAAAGTTTTTGGCAGGCCAGGCAGGAGTCAGCTCAGTCTAGCAGAGTTGGAATTTGTGTCAGTGAGTAGACATCCAATGAAAACTGCATACCTCAACTTGAGGGAGGATGTCAGAGCATAGAGTACTATAGCAATTATAGCAAAAGTAACTAAATCCACCAGTGATTTAATGTTAAATTAGAACAGCAATTGAGCCTATAAGGTCATTTTTAATAGATATACCTATACAAACCTATATATATTTTTATCGCAGTGTCACTCAAGACGTATGAAATGTCATATCTAGGAGATCCTAAATCCAAATTCATGCTGAATATCAAAAAAATGTGTCTGTAATTATATGATGTTCACAAAACTTCAGCTGCTGACTATCTGAGAAAACTGTACAGGAGACATTTATCATAAACACAAAACCATGTGCACACTTAAACACACAACACCCGCAGTATACACACACCCCTGTGCTGCATGTGTTACCTGATAATGGCATGCTGTGGGTGTACTAAGCTGTTATGGTGGAGTGGCTGACCTAATGCATTAGATTGAGCTCACTGTCAGGTCTTTAAGTAGCTGGGATCAGAGGCAGATACACAGCTAATGGATCCTTCTCTCCGTGGGTGGAATAACACAGCAATAGCTCTATTTAATGGAAAAAAAGGACTTAACTTTAAAAGAATGAGAAGACACCAATTGGTTGAGCTCAATATCTTAACCATTTTAATATTTCATATGAATTTTAATGATACACAGCCAAATAAGTTATTGGAAGTTGGGGGGGTTTAAAGATTGTGTTTATATTTAAAAGCATACATGATTGAAAAGTGCTGCTATTAAACAAACTTATTGAGTCCCTATTGTGGACACAGAAGTGGAAATCACATAACTTGCTCAGAGCACTAAAACTAACCAACAGGTATTTTTAAACATCAAAATTGATGTGGGAGGCCACTGATATACCGAGACTAATGTAGCCTTTTCTGGCCTTTAAAGCTCTTAGAGAGAATCAATTTTAGGAAGGCAGCTTGTGTACTTTATTTTGGGAAAAAAAGTAGACTGAAAACATACCTAAGCTATGTTGGTTGGGAATATGCCCCAGAAAGGTAAGTTTATCCCTATATGTAATTTCACATAAAACCATACACTAATGGGATTTGATAATGAGTTGTTAAAAAATGAGCTGCCATGTCATGCCAGTTTTTTCTTTTGCTCCAAAAAAACTTCAACCCTGTGTCTGATGTTGTTTGTGTATTTAAATGAAAGTGCTGGGGTATTATGACTATTATACTAGTAAGGATTAGGATTGCATGAAAATCCTCCAGATGCGAGATGAGCTGGAGTTGTTAAATGAGTTGTGGCTTTTTCTCAGTGACTTCTGAATGACGAAATTTTAGGATATCCAAGTAAAGTGATAGAGCTGATGGGGTATGACTGAAGATGAACGAACCCAAAATGAAAAGAAAGAAAGGGGAATGGGAAATATGCCTGACACCACTGACACATCCTTATGTGACTCCTTTACCCTTTCTCCTACTCAGTCAAATCATTGTATGTACAGTTTTTTTACACTTTTGACCAAGTACATTTGCACATTAACATGGCTCCATCTTTTCTATTTGTGTGTATGTGTTTGTGTACCTATGTATGAATGCAGAACAAGCAAAACCTGCTGTCAAAACAAATAGACCTCAAGGGTAAGGCACCAGAAAAGGGTGTTCTGTTGTCCTACGCAGTATCAGACCTGAAAATCCCTCTGTCCTACGAGGTCCGGCTGGCCCCTATTACCACCTACAGCACTGGGGACTATGTCAGTCGAATCATCCAGTATTCAGAACGTAAGTCTCTCTTAAAATCCTCGATCTTTGTCTGCAGTCATTAGATATTTTTTTTAATCCAATCATATACTTACACAGAGCATAGATCAATTGATGGGTTGTTCATGTTTGAGTGCTAATCAATATTATCATAATTCTTTTTACAGCCTACACTTACCCAAGACCTTCAGGTGAGACTCAACTGCCATCCTTTGCTCTTGTACATTTGATCATCTTTAACTTGCTTTTTCAACCTGATTTATGACAGAGTTCTGATGAAGGTTTAAATAAGCATGTTTGCTCCAAGCAGTGTCAGCACAAGTCTGCCAAGGCAAAGGTTCCCAACACACGACCCCGTGACTCATGACCCTTAATCATATTGTTGCGATGAAAATAATGGGGTAACAAAAAATGATGGGTGAAACAAGCTCTATAGAATTTTAAATGTCTTGAAATGGTGACAATGGGAGAAGGATATCAGTTCGGTTATTATGGTATGATTGGCTAGGCTTGAAAAATTAAAAATACAAAATGTGGGCCATTCTGTATGTTTTAAACTTGATCAGGCTATATTAAAACTATGTTCCATCTCATCATAGATTTTTAGTTCCTTTCTCTCTCTGTTAGCCCCCTCTGTCTGTCACAGTTTTCCACCAGCGTCTATCCTGGTCCTGCCTCTCTCTTACCATCCCTCTCTCTTTTTCTCAGTCAATTGCATCTTGTCTATTTTCTTCATTAAGAGACACGCAGCATTTTTCTGGCAGGAGTGTCAGTTGGCTCCATCAGGGTGAGGCAATTAAAACAACAGCAGATTGGAACAGACTGCGAGAACAACAGTGTAAATTGAAAGGAGTGCATGTACTAGAGCAGGGTGTGAATAGTAATAGATTAGCTCCCTGAAACAAAGAGGCACACACACGCCGTCCTCTTGGGGAGCACAAGCCATATGCATCTGCAGCGGACTGTGTGTGTCCAGGAAGCTTTCACTGATGCTGTCAGCTTGGACGGTTTTAGATGGCTGTTGTTATACTCTCTTGGCTCAATTTTCATTTGTTTAGTGAGTCTCTGATAATTGCTCTCCAGATGGGCTAATGAAGGTGACTACACCACGGAAAGAAGGCTCTTTATCTTGCTTAACAAGAGACATTAACATCAATGACGACAAAACTCGGGGTGTTCTTCAAAATATCTTTTTTGTCTTTAATGATGTATGTGACAGTATCAAAGTGTCCCTCAAAACATATTAATGGGAAAACATTAAAAGAATCACATAGCTCAGAGAAGATTAAATGTTCAGGGAAACTGCATCTCATTAAAGCTTTTACCCAATTGTGTTTATAGATTATATTCACAAGGTGTCAACAGCCAGTAGGAGCACTCAGAAACAAGAAAGGTAGACTCGTACTTCAAAATATGTACTATCCAAAATATGTCGAACAAAGAAATAGCAGTTTTGCCCTTACACACTTGCACAGTGGATTTTTTAATCAAATAATCAATATACGAATAAAGTGCAGACCAAGGTTGTTATAGTTAACTAAAACTAAACTAACAACTAAAACTAAATGTGCAAAAAACATTTTAGTTCAATAAAATAAAAATAAAAACTTATTAAGAAAATTAAAGCTGGCGGAAATGATTTTGTGTAAAAACTACCAAAAATAAAATGAAAATACAGAGGAAATAGCCTCAGTTTTAGTATCTGCTAGTTTGGTAAAAAATGATATTACAACTTGCCACTTGAGATTTTGGATGTCAAAAAGACTGTGAATCAACTGCTTTCAAAAAGTGCTGCTTTTTATTACAATAGCTGTACTGATTTTTCAAAATCTTGCCTCTGACATATGCAGGCTCCATTCAGTAATAATTAAAATGACTAAAACTAAATGAATCTACTGAATCAAAACTGAAATAAAAACAAAACAGTCAAAATGAAATTGCATAACTCTGTAGCAGCTTTAATTCAACAGTTGACTGACACGTAGTGTTGTGGTCATTTTTAATAAAGGACACATCATATTTGACTTTGATCAAATATTTAATTTGTATTTTAGAGCCAAAGCGAGCACATGTGAGGGATGGAATCATTTGGCTAAAAAAAACCCAAAACATAAAGCAAAATAAATCTATTAGAGGCATAGTAAAAATTTACAGAGTAGCCAATATCACAATCTGGTACATTCTTTTTAAGATTGTACCAGATTGTGGTACCAGCTCAGCAAAAGCAAAAAGCCTGAAAGACCACAGAAGACAGTTCCAAATTGTGATGACAGAATTTATATGGTTAAAAATACCTTAAAAAACATTTAACCAACTCAAGAATACTTTCAAGACTTACACATATTATTGTCAAGGTTTATAAATCAGAGACATTTTCCGGAGTGGAAATAAGATGGTTTACAACAAGGAAAAAAATCATTGTGGTGGTCAAGAACAAGAAGGGCAGATCAGACTTTGCCAGAAAACACATAAAAGAGCCCGCCAAAAAATTTTTTATTTGGACAGATTACACATTTGCACCAGAAGGATGGTGAAGAGAAGTATGGAAAAGGAGAAAAACGACTCATGATCAGAAGCATACCACAGTATCCATCAAACATGTCGGAGGCAGCGGACATAGGTTAGGGCATGGGTATGGCTGCCAGTGGAACCAGGACACTAGTCTTTATTGATGATGTGACTGCTGACAAAAGGAGCAGAATGAATTCTTAAGTGTGCAGGGCTATATTCTCCGCTCAGATTCAGCGAAATGCTGCAGAACTGACCCGATAATGCTTCAGTGCAAATGGATAATGATCCAAAGCATAATGTAAAAACTACTTTCTCAAGGCAAAGAAATCGGGCAGTCACGTGATAGACCCAATAGAGCATGCTTCTTCATTATTAAATACAAAATTGAATTCAGAATGACCGACAATCAAGAAGCAACTGAAGGTGGCTACAGTAAAGGCCTAGCAGAGCATCTAGTGGGAGAAAAGGATTTTTGTCCAAGCATTAAAAACAATCCTCATATTTAAAATTCTGTTAGTTTTTTTTTTTTTTTGTAAAACCACTTGAATTAAAGCTGAATGTCTGCACTTCAATCACGTATTGGTTGACTGATTTAACATTAACTGTGTAGGTGTGCTGAGGTGAAGCTCCAACAATGTGTTTTGGTCCAACAACATTTGTTTTTTTCATATCACACAGTTCAAGATAGATTTAATGAAATCTTGGTCTCAATCTTTCTTGCACTTTACAAGGTCAGTTTGAGGCATGTCAAACTGTACCATGAATGTGTGGTGAACCATAGCACTCCCAACAGAGTGTATAAGAGCAGAGGCATATACACTTGTACCAGCCGTCTGCAGTTTTATTTTGAAAATGAGTCCGTATTATGGTATATTCCCTACATGCCAGAGTTTTCTTGTTTTGTTGGTTTGATTTTAAACATAAGTCAAAGCAGTCGGTACACTAACAATATGAACTTTGCATATTCAACGAACTTTGCTAGAACCTGTCTTTAGCCTTTAAGTTTCCAAACTGGCACATTGTATTTGGCTCTTACTGCTATTTAAAACTACAGAATTAGATGAACAGCCACACATTTTACAACATTTGTAATTGCCATATGACTGGATGACTAAATATTTAATACTGCTTTTATTTTCATGATGAGTAGTAGTGTTATACAATATCAGGTGAGCATTTTTTCACTGAATTGCACAGTGAATACAAAGGAGAAGATTTAAATCTAATGCCCACTTTAGTGCAATTCATTATTCCAGGTATTTTTAATTTCCTTTTTTTATCGTTTTACACAGTTTGAGTTTGAGAATGTAAGAGTCATACTTTCAATTATACATAATATGTATACCAGTGCCTCCTACGTGGTGCCTATCACTTTGTCAGTAATTGCCTAGCTGTCTGATTTGAAGTGCACATTCCAGAGGTCATTATAGACCTTTATAGATGTTGCCATTTGTTTCCTGGGAAAGGTGGGTGAAAAAAAAAAAGAAACAGCCTTGTATGTCATCTACAGTTTGTAATGTCACCCGCTTGACATGTCAGTGATTTAATGTGTTTTTCTATCTTTTTTTTTTTTTTGTAACAACACACACACCTCAGACCATGTGTGTGGCTTTGAAGATGAGCGCATATGTGGCTTCTCTCAAGACCGGAGTGATATCTTTGACTGGACGAGACAAAATCACCTGACGCAGAATCCCAAGCGGTCTGCGAACACCGGGCCAGACACTGACCGCAGTGGAACAAAGGAGGGTGAGGAAACTATGACTCATCTAAAGTGAAATACAAATGTATTGTGTAATGTGTAAGTGTAAATTCAAAGGCACAGAAACAAAACAAATGTGTATGTACAGTCAAGACCATTCATCTTCAGACAATGTGCTTTTTTGCTGTTGTTGTTGTTGTGCACGCACTGTTGTGTTTCACGGCAATTATCAATAAAATATGGGATAATACATTAGTGTCAGGTCTCAACTTTAGAGTGAGTAGTTCTACATTACCATATAAAGGACTGCTGTGGAAGATATTTTATTCTGACATCATTTCATGCATTAAAATGTTCAACTCTCAAAGCTGATTTAGAGTTTGAAGTTAACATTAGATTGAGGAGGTGTATGAAATGTCAAAAAACTTGGAAGACCAAGAAAAAAATTAGATTGTTTTTCCTCAGTTTGTCTAATTTACTTGTGGAACATGTGATTAAATGTGTTAAGATATTTTTATCATATAGAAAATAAAGCAGAAACCTGGCACTAGCTTATGACCCATTATGTTACCACAAACCTCCCAAAAATGTGTTGTTATTCCAATACCTACAGTCTATAATTTACATTAGAGGGCTTTATTGGCCTTTTATTATTATTAATATTTCTACTCTTTATCTTTCTTGTTGACTCCAGGCTACTACATGTACATTGAAGCATCACGCCCACGTACTCAGGGTGACAAGGCTCTTCTTCTATCGCCACTTTTTAATATTACCTCAAGCAAGGGCCCCAAAGGAAGAGTCCCATACTGCGTCTCCTTCTACTATCACATGAAGGGCAAACACATTGGTAAGTCGCAGAAAGAAGAATAATGCTCGCACAAACATATACACATACACAAACATTATTATCTCCTCTCATATGAGAGCACAATGGCACACATGGGTAAACAGGGAACAGTGTACTGGTGCTCTCTGCTATCGGGGTTCTCATATCGCTCTTGCCTCTGTCAAAAGCTGAACCCTATGCTTGAACCTTGCTTGCAGAGCGTGTCAGACAGAAAATTGTAGGTCTGTGTGAGAGAGTGTGTACGTGTGTGCGTGTGTATATGTGGGTGAGAGGTGGAATGGAAAGACCGGGACGAGGGTGGGATGTAGGATGCTACAAAAGTTCTGTTTGTATGTGGCTTCTTGGGTCTCAGTTTGTGTGTGTGTGTGTGTGTGTGTGTGTGTGTGTGTGTGTTTTAATCGGTGGTTGAAGGGGGCAGTGGGTGTGTGATTTATGGCAGTGGCAAGACACAATCAGTCACTTGGGCGAGTTGTTCATCATAATATGCTCTGTCACACAGCTAGAATGCATACATCTAGGAGCCCTACACACCTGCATGCACACTCTTGTGTGCACACACAAAGACACACACATGCACGCACGTGCGAATGTGTTCTTTTAAAAAAGGGGGAAAATGGCAAACCTAGCAAATACATAGAGGCACACCTACATTTATCCACAAACACACACACACAATATTGATTTATGTGTCCATAGCCCAAGCATATATGCTTTAATCTAGCATTTGTTACCTGCTGACCTCCCTGTCTCCTTAGGATGTGTTTGGTTTAAAAGGGCACAGTGTGTATTGTGTGTGTGGGAGTTTGCCTTTGTGTCTGTGTGTGTAACCAAGTGTGATAATGTAATAGTTAAGCATATTCAAGTTCAGAAATGAGAGGCAGTTTATTAAGACAAAGATTTGGGCACATCTCCCACAGAGAAATAGCTTTGCACGCACAAATATTTCAATGGCATGCTAACAATAGAGTAGAAATGTTTCCGTCAGGTTATTCAGGCTTTTGCAGTAAAGAGAGAAACCTTAATAGATCAGAAAGAATGAGCCAAAAATTGGCTACTACTCAAAATGTCTCTGCTTAAAATAGAGGCGGCCTGACTGTTACTATAATATGTAATGGCTGTTTATAGGTGGCAGATTTATAAGAGATACTGGAGCACTTCATTTCTTATTGGGTAGTTTGGTCAAAGGTATTTTCGATGTTTTATAATGAGACAGTGAAACATCAGTTGCACTATGCTTGCATATGATTAGCACATTGTGTTACCACCGCTGCAAGCCCTCTCTCAATTTCCAGTGCTGTTCGTCCCAGTCTGTCCAATTTGTTGTTGCTTTAATTGCCTTACCTTGGCAGAGCTAACAGTTTTGCTAGGGAGACACAGTGTGCCTCATAATGATGGAAAGAGACAAGATGAGGATAAGACAGGGGGTCAGTGAGAGATGAGACAAGACAAGTGAGGGGAGGATGAGGGCTGGCCAACCTTTTGAAAAAGGGAGATGGTTAATGATGAGACTGAGACCAAAGTGAATGGTAAGAAAAATACTGAGAAAAATTAAGCACAGAAAATAGAGAGCCTTAGAGAGCCTGTTGATGTCCAGAAATAGTGAGAGTATGCTGTAGTGCTAGCCAGTTTTAATGTACTTGATATATAGTGTGCTAAAAGTGTTAAAAGGTTGTATATATTGAAAGCATTTGGGCACTTTGACGCCACACAATTTTCAGACAAGATGTTGAAATGCTGCTCTTTTCTAGCCCACATATATTTTGCTTGTTTGCAATCCTAAGAGTTTGAGAGTTTAAAAGAGGTAAAGGCACCTTTCAAAGATTTTGCAAAATAAAATGAGGGCAGAAAGAATAATGCCCTTTCCTCACTTTGGATTGCAGGTTTGCAATAGGGCAGCACAAATAAAGACCTCCCCAGGTGATGTGTTTTTTTCTTTTCACCTTAATATGTTTATCTGTGGGCTTGCTGGCAGCAACAATAAACAACATTTAATTAGTTCTGTTTGGCATTCGGTATTATTTTTTATGGCTCAGGTTTGCAATGCCATTGGCAAGCTTACTTGGAATTACTGGATTATTTTCACTCCAGAGTGATTGAAGACAATTAGTTCCTGTATGCTGTTTGAAAAACAGTTTTATTACACTTTAAATAACTTTGGCGATATAAATGTTAGCATAGTATTTTGCACACACAACTTTCTTTTTAATTATACACAGGTTTTCTAGATGCTTTTCATGTCTGTCTCTCACTTGATAGGTTTAGGTCCCTATCTTCGGGAAAGCATTATAACCAGGATTCAGGTATTTACTAAAAACACTGGATAGTATTGCCCTTTGGTGACAGAGGCTACAAGCTTTAGTTTACTCTGGACTCTTCAGCATTGCTTTCAAAGCAAACCAGCAGCTGAAGCGTACCAGACAGGCCATGAGCCTTATTTAGGATGAGATGAGGGATGGGGGGAGATGAGAACCCAATGTAGGCCTTTCAGATATCAAAACAAAAACAACTCATTTGATTTCAAGTATTGCAGTGCATGCCCGTCTGTGTGTGGGTCTGTGTATCTCTGCTCTGTCTTCCCCAATCATGATTCCACAGACAAGTAGCCTTGATAGAGCTGTGCCTTCTCCTCTGCTTGCCTGACACTCGCACCAGCATATACTGCCTTACCTCAGTCCAATCAATAGACTGCTTATCAGAGTCCGCAAACACTCTTTTGGCTCTGTGTGTGTGTGTGTAGGTGGTGATGGTGGTAACAGGAGAAAGAGAGAAGAAAGGAACTATGAGGCTCAGATATGTAGTGTTACATTAAGAGATTGGGTTAAAAGGTAATACTATACATCAAGATTAGGTCTTGCTTGCAGAAATGCTGCTTTTTTGGACTTTGGGAGGTAAATATTTTCTAACATTTAATGTTTGTTCACTTCTTGAAAATGAAATTTAAGTTCCAGTTGGAAAACCTTGTAGGACACTGAAAAACCTATCTGCTAGATTTCACCTCATAGAAGAGCAAGTAGCCTGTAATGTAATTAACATTTTCAATGTAGTAATGTAGCTGTTCCAACGCTATCAGATCATTATTTTTACTGAGATCCAAACTTTACAAAACCATGCAAAATATACTCAGTGTTTAAAAAAATGATTTTAGACATTTTGGTATATGTGATCTTATTCTTTTTCCCACAGTTACATAAAAAAGGTAAAATCTGTTTTACGTTTGCATTTTCACTGTGGAGACCGGTGTTGGTCAAGTTACTTGAAAATAGTATTTAGTTACTAATTACTGATTATTTCTCTAAGAAAGTAATGCCATTACTTTACTGATTGGTTATTTTCAAAAGTAATTACTTACTTATTACTGAGTCACTTTTTAAAAACATGATACACAACCTGAATACGTAACCTTTCAGCCCAATCCCAATTTTTTCTGCATAATCCAACATATACAATTAAATCAAATGAAAAAGTCTCTTTTTAAAAATGTTTTATTAGTTTTAATCTTTTAACTTTATGCACACTGCATCAAGCAAAAATTTAATTATGCAACAGTCTTTGACTCGAAGAAATTAGTTTAACATTTAAACCTTTTTTGTGCATATATCAGCATATAAAATAAAATACTTTTTTGTGTTTACACTCACTCTTTCAAATAGATGCAAGTAAAACACATCAAAACATAAATAAAATCAAAGATTCAGCAGCACAAAGCCCTGTCACTCTTAAGTCTATTTTCACCTGTTTAGCAGGAGTGGGTGGAGATTTGCCCGGTGCTGCAGCGGTCATGTCAGCGGGGGGAACCAGTGAATTTCACATTCCTGTGGCAGCTTGTTAGGTGCTTGCTCAGATTTGAAGTTTAATTTTTCACTGTAGAAAGAAGTTTTCTTCCTGCGCAGAGTGTACAGTGGGCGCTAATGTTTTTGTCACTTTTTACGGACTAATAATAATTGTAAGTAATGTCAGGACTTCCAAGCTTTAAATGCTGCATGGTCGTACTCTCTCTCACACTCTATATTATCCATTGTTGATCTACTATGCGCGTCTGTTGCTGCCACAGGCGTCGCACGCTCGTACGTCATTGTCATGAGACACTCTCACAAACAAAATCACGGTTTAGTAATGCAGTCAAAGTACGTGGAAAGTAACAGTAATTTAATTACTTTTTTGCAATAGTAATCCCTTACTTTACTCGTTACTTGAAAATAGTAATTGGTAACGCGTTACTGCTCATCTCTAGTGGAGACTAGACTTTCCTTATAATGATCACAATCATGGGAAAACAGCTTTACTGATTCAAAGGCAGCAAAAGAATCATGGCTTTCAAAAGCAACTAAATATGGCATATTGTTTTATGTAATTCACACAGAATCTAAAAACTCAACAAAAACAAGATGTTCTTTGATAGGAGTCATGTTTGGTCAGATACAGTAGTTTGCTGGAGGTATTGGTGGTTCTCAGTATTTATTGATTAGCTACTGGCTGTAGCTGTTATCAATTTGGCTTCCACTAAAGCTACTTTCACCTCCTCCCTTGTCACAACGATCACTACAGCACCTCCGCATGTCTTGATTTTTTTTTTTAACATGAGATGCCCTTCCTGTTATTAACTGGAATAAAAGCAGCCATCTGCCACTTGCCAAACAAATCTTTTAATCTGTGTAAATGTGCCAGAAATGTTTAATTAAACAGCGTCATTCCTTTTATTTGACATTTTCACAGTGCTAAAATATGTAGGGTTAAGGTGAAGACTGGATTGACAGTCCGATAACACTGCTTCCCTCGGTGCCCACAGACAGTTTAAACATGTTGCTTAACTGCTCAGTTGGATCCTTCCCCTAGTATCACAAATCTCCTGTGACAAGGTATGATGCTTAGTGCTGCCAGCCTGGTGATTTTTCCGGGATTTAAAGAATATAGGCTTATAGTTTCACAAAACAATGATTGATTCCATTGTGTAAGCATAAGCCTATAAGTACATACATACACACACACACACACACACACACAAATATAGTATAGCATAGCGTGCCCCCTGCTTGCAAATTTGTTTAAGAGACTCGTGGTTGGTTAATGTTCCAATTAGAAGCTGGCTGGGGATCATTAAGAAGATGAATGATTCTCTCACACCTACTTTTAGAGACCTGAAAGAGACAGAGAGAGGGGGAAAAAGAGATGGACACTATTTGGATTATTTCTCCATGGCAAGTAAAACAATAGGGTAGAGTTTTAGACTTGCTATATTAAATATACAGTCTTCCCAATGGGAATAAAATGCAACAAAAGTCACGGCACCTTTAGCTATTGAAATCGGAATCTTGTTTAAATATTTATTATAGTCATTTTTATTTTGGGGGACAGACTCAAATCTCAACAGGATGATGGCGTGTTTCACAAATTTCAGGAGTAATATTTGGCCATTCTTCCAAGACAAACTGATCTTTCCTCTAGTATTATTATAATTTTTTGCAGTGGAATATATCTGTGTTTGGTAATGACCATAACTATAAAACCAGCTAGAGTGACAATGACACTGAGTGTTTCTAAATTCTTGTACATGTTTGTGGCTGTGTTTGTCTGGATGTGTGGCTGCGCATGGGATTTGTTTTCACAGGTACTCTCAATGTTTATCTGCGAGTGAGAAGCATTGCCTCTGTGGACCGAGCAATGTGGACAAAATCTGGTCATCAAGGCCCAGACTGGAAGAAAGCATTCTTTGACGTTACCCCCAGTGGACCCTTTCAGGTAAGGCATTTCTGATTTCTTTGCTTCGTAGGATTGGTGATTACAGAATCAGCAGTCACATCAATAATAAACACTAGTGACCTAGTGACCAGTAGGAGCCATACACGTCGATAATGTGGTATGCTTAATATCGTGAGTGGCTTTTCCAGTCTATATTTCCATTTGCAAAGATGTCTCTTGATTGTAGACCTTAGTATTTCGTTGTTTTATTAATGTAGTGCACCAGATTTTTGATTTGGCCACTCCTAAACTTATTTATTATCTCTCTGATAGTTTTTTTGTTGCTGTTTTGCTTTTTTGTTTTGTTTTTCAGACAAATGATGGCCTCTCTCACTTGCACAGACATCTCTCATACTTAAAATTCTGTCAAAAAGCTCCGACGTAGAAATTCAACTCTTTGAATCCAGTTCAGATATTATGTTTGCTTCATTTGCCATGAAATAACACAAAAACAGGTCTCACCTAGTGCACAAAACTGTGTGTCAGTCAATTTTCCAATTAATTCTAACCCTTTGAACACGGGCTACTGTGTATAAAGATGGCTGCTAAACAGTTAATGCGAAATCTTTTGTAAAACCCAAAGTCTGCACTTCAATCACATATTGATTGCCTGGTTTAAAATCCACTGTGGTGGCGTACTAAGGCAAAACTACAAAAGATGTGTCTTTGTCCAACAAATCATAGACCTAACTGTATTTTTACAAAACACACAAAAAATTCTATTTTTTGTCATCTCTTTCATCTGTGAGATGTCCCTCTGCCTCAGCCATTTTCTCTCTACTGTGTCTTTCCCAAGAGGAAAGTTCTCCACTGTGCAAAGCCAGCACTGGGATTTTATACCATGAATTAATGGAAATGAGGAAATTCCCAAAAAGGGTTGGTCTTGAAACACTGCTTGAATTTTTCACACCATATTTTAAAGACTGACATTTAAACCGCCCAGAGATCTACTTCCCAAAATCACTATCGCTTTATATTTATTGATGTTTGAGTTAATTAATATCCAATAATCTCATTTCTCTTCTGTGTTGGAAGAAAACTTTCAACTAGCATAAAAACAAATACAGTTTTTAAGCTTTTAGGAGTGGGTTGGTGCAGTGTGTTGGGAAAGAATTCATACCTCTTTTAGCAGTCATATATCCAGTCAGTCCTCCCCTCAGTGGCTTCGACACTGCAGGTGGACATACTCTGCAATGTGAGAGTACACCCAATGGAATCAATATAATGTGACATTATTATTTATCAAGTTATACAAATTTGTGCCAAAAGTAGTACTAATGAAGGCAATGAAAAATATGATACATATAAATTAACCCCAAGCTTTTTGTATGACTTGTGTGCATTTTTCATTCTTAAATAAATGTGGATACAGGATTTTGACATTTTAGCACTGAGGGCATTATTGATAAATGGGGACCTTTGAGTACACATTGGGCTCATTTTCTGCTGAATGTCAGCAGCAAGCCTATTCACGTAGTAACCAGAAAATCATTCACTTCATCAAGATTGTGCTAATCTCACGGCTGGCAACAAGATTTCATACATATTTGAAAGGTCCAAATGATATAAATGTGCAGCTATGCATACAGCTTTGACCTCTAAATGAAAGTAAACAGACATAAACATCTGTAGCTAGTGGTGATCAAATACAATAAATTTCTATAAATACTGACGCTTAATTTATTTGTTTCCAGAAACAAAACAAAAGAAAAACATCCTGGCATTTCAAACAGTTCTTTAGTATAGACTGGACTGGCTCTGTTTTGGTGCCAGCAAATGTGTTGGTCCCAAATATACAAGCCAGTAAATGAACCAGAACCAAAAATGGGATCGTTTCTTTTGTAGTTAACTCTGTTGTGCTTGTTATACAATGAGCATTCAATCTGCATGGATGGCATATTTATGTTAAGGACTGCTTGCAAGCGCATCTCTTTAGCCTCTGGGTTGGTCCTATATTGCTTCCTTAGTTTTAGAGGTACGCAAATGGACAGAAATACAACACCAAATCTGTTGGGTTTTTTTTTTCTTTTTTAAGGATAACAGCTTCAGTATAACTTGGAATTAATCCAACAATGAGGTCCACATGAGGAATAAAATGTCATTTTTCAAAAATATCTTCATTACTTTATTTTCGTTTGTACAAAACCTCCCATACTGTAGTTCAGATCTGACTGCGAAGGCCCCGGCATGTGATTCACACAATTTTTGCACTATGAATAGGACATTTGTCTGCCTGGAAGAGACCAGTCTGATCACATGATAAAAGTGATGACTCGAAATAACTTTTGATTGATTAACAGTGGCTTCTACCTCTAAAGGTACGAGTGAATCCAAAAGGCATAACTAAGACACCAGATTTCGTACCTGTCGGGGTCAAGGGCACTTTTTATTCCTTTTCATTAGTCACACATCTGGACTTGCACTTGCACTTGATTAAAGTTGCAAGATCCTCCTGTTAAAAGCCTGGTGGACTGTGAATTGTGTGTCACAGACAAAACAGTGCTTCTTAGTTACAGTGTAGGTAGTTTATTTTCAACTTCTCCCATGAAGAGAAAGTAATGCAGCTGATACAAAGAGAGAGCACCAACTCACTGTTCTTGCATTTGCAAAAAACTCTTCGTGAAAACACTAGTTTGACAAGAAATGGCATACTAACTTGTGATTGTACAGTAGGAAACCTAGTACTTCAGTAAAGGAACACGCACTTGATCGGACGGTGACAATTCAATTTATTGTTCAAAGACAATTGCAAGAGAACTACCTCAAGCCTTCTACACCAGCTGGTGATTTCCAATCTCTGATTGTTGCTTATACAAGAACTGTTACCCTCAAATGAAACTCCATTTAAAAGTCTGTTCGACTGGATTAGAAAGTTATCCGAACTATTTCTCAGTTCAGTTCAAGGGGTGTAATTTTTCATGCTTTCAGCTGTACAGTCATCTTTCCTTGTTTAAGTTCACCGGAAGTTTAAAGTTTGGGTTACAGTAACTGTGCACATTCAGTCAATAGTGGAAGAAAATAGCCTGGAAGACATAACAGAAGAAGCGCCCGTGTTTGAGCACTGTCTGTTGACACATCCTTGAAGTCCCTTCGGCTCTTTGGCAGCTGCGCTTGCAGTTAGTTCTTCCCTGTTGGCATGTGGCAGAACAAACTAGATGACTCAGTCATTCTTTCTAACTGGACATGATGTTTCCTTTCTCACTCATTTTTCCAGTTTTTCTTACTCCATGGGTTTGTTTGTGAGTTTGTGTATATGTGTCTATTTTAGAATGTTTAAAATCCAGCGGAGGGTGAGAAAAAGGGAGGGGAAAAATGATGACAATTTAGTTTTGCTATGTGTGTTTTGCTGTCTCGGTCTGTTTAGTCCCCATTCTCTCCACTTGTCTTTCTCTCTCGTGGAGTGTTGGGGCAAGTGGAGTAACTGGCTTGATTCTTGTCCTGGTCTGCTTTCAAGATCTCTTCTCTCAGGGCTGATGACTAATGGCTTTAAATTTAAAAAGGACAGTCTTCAGCTATCAGGCTGCCAATACCCCATCACACATTCTTTTTCCATATATCTGTCTACATTCTATCTATGCGCAAATAAAATCACAAGCATACAGTGTAGATTCAGGCATCTGTACTATGCAAAAGTCTTGAGCCAACCCTCCTTTCTTTATATTTTGTTTTTAAGGAACTAGACTAGACTAGACTAGACTAGTCTTTAATTTCTTAAAGTGGTCTTGAGCAGTTCCTCTTTCCACTTAACAATGACCTATGAATTATTTAAACATAAAAAGGCACCTATAGCTTGAGGGATCCCCCAGTGTTGTGTCTACATATGACAGAGAATTTAGCAAATAATTAATCTTAGATTGTAATCTTTAGACACTTTGTTACCAGTAGTCTGTTAAGGAAAAAAAAAGGAAACCGAATAAACCGAGGATGAAAGAAAACGTTCCAAGTCTAAAATACTATCTATAGCAGACAACCAGTATCTGGAAGTTATGTCTTTAAGAAATAGGAAAACCCATGAAACAACTAACACAGAACCTGAGAGTGCATCTTGCCTTTCAACTGAGACATCTACTGTTCACTGAAACCTCATCAGAAATGGTCTCAGTGGATGGCCTACTGTCAAGAAGCCATTGATAAGAAAGAGAAACATAGAAGAAAAGTTGAGGTATGCCATATTACTCAAGAACTGGACAGAAGATCAGTGGCAGCAGGTCTTGTGGAATCATGAATTCAAATTTGAAATTGTTGTTTCAAATCATCACTAAATATATGTGAAGAGGTCAAGAGGGGTACAATTGTATTTATATAGCATATTTCCTTACACATAAACTCAATGTGCTTGACACAGAAGATAAAACCTTTAAAAAGCTTTGTAAAGAAATAAAATATAAGTTAAAACACACACACATAATCACATACACGCAGTTAAATGTAAGTCTGTGAGAATAAAACTGTTTTGAGTCTGTTTTTTAAAGTGATAGTTGACCTCAGGCCAGCAGATAACCTTTTCCAAAGAACAGGATCACATGATCACGTAAAGTAAAAGTATTCTCAGCCCGTTACAGTAGATCTAATTATGGGAACAGTTAAAAGATCTGCACTCGATTACCTGACAGGTATCACTTGATTATATACACAAAACAAGTCAGTGAGTGTCTGCAGCCAATGTAAAACATGGTGGAGGTTCAGTCATGGTTTGGGCTGTGTTTAAGCCAGTGGTTTTGAGAATCTTGTTAAAAATGATTTCATTATGAACACAGAAAAATTACCATTAGATTTTGATTCAGTGTAGAAAGCACCTGACTTGAAAAGGCTTTGCTTCTCTGTATAGCAATGGTCCCAAATACAGTAAAAGCAAAGCTGGATTAAAAGAAAAGCACAACACGAATGAACAATATGGATTTGCCTCCTCCATCTCACCATTAAAGAAACAAGGTGGTCATACTAAATACTGACTTTCAGCCTCATTAGGATTGTTTTTGCCTTGCATACAGCATCTACAT